AAGTTGAAGTTGGAAGAAATTAGAGCGACCGTCAGCCGATTATCCCATCAGTCCTGAGCTTCGCGAGGGCGTCGGATGAGAGCCCCAGATTTCCCCGTAGCACCTCTTCCGTATGGAAACCAAGGTTAGGACCCGCCCATTTAGGTTGGGGGTCAACACCATCAAGGACAGGGAATGTCCCCTGCATCTTCACGTTCCATCCTTTATCCTCACTACCTACTCGAACGTCTCGTACAGCACCTCGCGCCTTTATCTGCTCGCCTTCCACGACTTCTTTAACAGTCACTACACGCCCCACTGGAACCCCGACCTTGTTCATGACATCGATCACTTCGTCAACAGTGTGTTGCCGAGTCCAATTTGAGATAGCATCCTCGATCTCGATCTTTCGCGCGACCCGGTGGTGGTTCTGTTCGTATTTGGGCCCGACGAGGTCGGGTCGTTTGACAACGTCCATCAGGCGATTGTAGATCGAGTCACCATTGGCACCAATAACAATGTACGTCGGAATTGAGGGAGCAGATGGGTCGGGCATGCATGGGTATGCGTTTGTTGGAACGATACCAGTTACTGAAGAGCCTGAGGGTCCGCGTGTCTAGTAAAATTCAGAACTGAATTCACGAACTTGATGGCTTCGCTACCTTTCCCTTGCGGTCATACTCCGGAATGATACCTTCCATGAGGTTGAGCATGCTGTAGAACTATAAACTTTTGAGTAGTGAGCGAGCAAAGCCAGAACATACCTTTCAACGATGCTGACATCTACTGTTGTGCCTGGTTGAGTCGACTGTCTTTGCCGTCCCAACAGAGCTAGTACCTATCGTGACACATGAGGACTACGAGATGCACGATAGAATAAAAACAAGCATACGGTGCCGAATGCTGCATGCAGCCCAGCAATTGAGTCGCCCAGGCTGATATTAGGTCTAACGGGCGGACCAGCCAGTCCCTGTGTTTCTGGGTCGGGGAATCCATTGATATATCGAAAGCCGGACTCTGCTTCGCAAACGGAAGCGTATCCGGGGCGTGGAGCCCACGGACCTGTCTGCCCGTATCCACTCACACGGGTAAATATAAGTGATGGATTATGCGGGCGTAAGTCCGCTGGTCCGAGTCCCCATCTCTCAAGGGCTAGATGGCATTCGTGAGAGGTTTGTGTGAGTTTTGGTCGAGGACATACTGCCTGGTTTGAAGTTCTCGATGACGACATCACTTTTGATGGCGAGTCGTTTGACAAGACTGAAGCATCGTGTTTTCAATTTCTGGTAGAAGGATAGATAGAAAATTAAAAAGACGCACTCTCGACCTTCTGGTTTTCTCATATCTATTGCTACACTCTTCTTGTTTCGTGCTATACTTCTAAACCATGGGCTAGTCCCATCTTCATCGAGCTCACGCCAAACGCGCAACGGGTCGCCAGTTCTAGGAGGCTCCACCTTGATGATTTCTGCACCAAATTGCCTGAACAGTAGTCCATGAGCCTCAGAAAGAACAGCAAGCGAGATAGGGGCTGACCCAAGAAGTTGACCTGCAAAAGGACCCGCAATCAACTGGCCCATCTCGAGCACACGAATTCCAGACAATGGAAGGTTATGTGTCCCATCCGCTACAGTAGCAAGTGTCCTAAGAAGACGTCAGTAGAGTACATGAAAGTAGTGAATCATTAAACTGACGCGGCGTGCAGCCTCAGCGGACGTTTAGAACGAGACGCGCATGCCAGCGACCGGTATGAGACGACTGAAGCCATAACGTATCCCAAGGGCTTTTGGTTCAGTATCCAAGTTCTTATGTACCGATATCCATAGAACTAGGAGTTACGTCGGCAATATATAGGTTTATTGAGACATGCACAAGATCGGCCGAAAGTGGCGCCATTGGGGCACTGTCGGCTTTTCGGGACTCGCTCTGATTCGGACAGACCGTCTTATAATCTAGGCCAAGTCTAGGCATTTCATGTGGATCTATGTACCACGTCAGTATCATCAGCTTAACACTACGAACACATCGGACATATTATAGATAACCGCAAAAGGCAGAACAGCGCAGTTTTGATTTCCATCCCAGCCGCGCAGGATTCGGCAAATCCCTGCCGAAGCCGGAGTGTTGAAAACGATCGTGACTTCCCAATTCGTCGCACAAAGTTCGCGCTTCGCAGCATGGACGAGACACTCCGTTCCACATAAACTTTCTAAAGTTGTACTGCGCTTGGAGTAGATCCGACCTATGCCAATTGGACGTAAACTGAGATCTGTCAACCTTAATGATTCGGACATTCGCCCCGATACTATTTTGAGATTCTTGTCATATCGCTTGTATGGATGGTATGTTACAAAGACATCGGTTCCCGAACGATTCAGGCTATACGTCTCTTTTCAGCTCTAGAATGTCTCTAATGATTGCGATGTTTCTTCACACGATGAACTCTGACTCTGGGATACACATATGCATATCGCATTCTCAAGATACTATTTCCTTCTATAACTCTGCGATGACACAAGTGTTGTACATGGACGAAACTCGGAAAGGCATCATGTCCCGATGATAACTGTTGTAACTTGCAGCATGACCATTATTGGTTCGGAAAAGGCACAGAATGACTAGATCTTCAAGGTTTCTGTGGTTCGATATATTCATCTAAGCGCTCGTTCCATTCTCGATATATTACTACTAGTACGACAGATGCGTGAGAGCGGCTGTTTGCAATCTCCCTTGTTCAACAGTGTGATGCAACTTTTGATGATATGTACTTACCCCAGGTATGTCATAAGATACGTTCTTTCCTACAATAGACATTACCCTGGCGTCTACAGGGAAAAAAAAACAGAAGCATTATGAAATGTAGAATCCCGAAAAGTCCGCGAATAGCTTAGCACGATATCAGTGTTACTGGGTGGAGATTGTGCTGGAATTCGAGTTGAAATAAGCCTCGATTCACATATAATATCTGAAAACGATACTGACTCATGAAACTTCATACAAAGATCAAGGAGACAAATCAAAGGCACAAGGATGGAGTACACACATATACTGATCGATCCTTTGACCATCTCTCAGTTCTGCGAAACTCGACGGTGCAATGGTCGATGTCTCACTCACAGTCGGTGCTCTTGAAATCGCAGCCCTGATCTCCATTTTCTTGTTTGGCATGGTAACTGTCCAGACGTTCGCATACTACAAGTGAGTATTTGACACTTGCTTTAAAAATGGGTGACTTGACGACACAACAGAAATTTTCCCGAAGATAAATGTTCACTAAAGGCCTTTGTAAGTTCCCAGTGTCATCTGAAATGGAGCTCTGAAGCATTTCAGATATTAGGTTGGCCTAATATGGTGAGAAAAAGAGCACCAAATTAGTCCCATGTTGGGACTAAAGGTTCTTCCCTAGGACTATGGAACTTGTTCATGCAGTTGCGATAACTCAATGGATTTACTATGTGAGCCGAAGCATTGTCCAATATACAGATACCCTTTGATCTAGAAAAAAAGTACTCGGTTACAGAATACAGTGATCCGAAGACGTTCATCAAGCTTCCGACGGGGGCGAATATAGTTGTAGTCGTTTCGGGACTTATTACCCCCTCAATCCAGGTAACTATTGCACACGCCCAGGAGCCTCGAATCTGTATTGTTACAGGCATTTTCTGCGCATCGTATCCACAAGTTGTCCTCCAAATGGCTTATTCCGTCCATTGCGTGGCTGTTATGTGTCCTGAGATGCGGTTTCAATCTAGCTCTGGAAGGTGTTGTCCATAATTCACTTGATTTTTTTTGTATCAAAAAAAAATGGCGATGGCTGTTCGTAACAACGTTCGCGGTCTCCCCAGCGAACGACGTGTTGATCACGGGGTCCTTGTGCTATTATTTGTGGCCGCATCGGAACACATCTCTTGAAAGGTGTGTGTGACGCTGTGGTGCATTCTTGCAACGTTAAGCACAGAATCGAAACGTTTAGAACGAAGGCGGTAGTCGATAAGCTTATTTTGTGGATTATCCGTAAGTAAAATCAAACAAGTTAAAATAGGAAAATCTAACCTTGTCATGTGTCCCTGAACTCGAAGAGACAGGAGTGGTAACAACGTACAAGAGACAGTTTTGTATTAAAAGCAATACTCCTTACTAACAATTGGTTAGTTGTGGGACAACGGTCCAGATGATCCTGGTGAAGAACCCTCGCATCTTTCTACTAGTGGTACTGATACTCTAAAGTTCCATGCGCTAGATAACTATCTTTGGGTGGCAGTCTTCCTGGTAACAACTCGACGTGTGTTTATCTTTTTTCAAGGGCTCTACTAGATATCTGACTATATGTATGCAAAGTCTATTCGAACTCACTTATGGCGTCGTACGTATGATTCATACGTTCGCTTATTACAGAGGTTTCATCGCTGCAACACATAGCCTCAATGCTCGAGCAAGTCTGCGCAGTCGCAATGAGACAAATAGTATTGTTACCGATGTTAACTTTGCCTCGCCCTCAACGGTACATGCGTTTTCCTTCTGAGACGGAGGACACTTTCTCATCTCGCTCTGCCATCAGTATCCACTTGAAACTAACGTTGCTATGATACGCACCAGAGAACAGTGCAATAGTGATGTCGAGTTAGGCAAGTCCCTTGGGAGGTCCTGCGTCGACAGAGTTGAGGTTTTAGTGGCGAGAGGCACATAGTGTGGGAATTACTAGTGCATCATGATAGAAAAAGTGGTGTTCAATAGATGGGTGCTTTTCTGATCCCGTTCTGCCTTAGTGAATAGTGACGATGAATACGGAATATAACCGCCGGCGAGCTTCACATGAGGAAGCGAGGTCGCCTACGTATATGCTATGTACACCAATGACTATGCGTGATGAGTTCCTGTTTTTCTTGTGTTTTACCGGTCGTTCTTCCTTAACAGATCCTCGTCGCCTCCCCCTTCCTCCAATTCATCCTCTTCGACCGCAATCCCCCTTTCCTGATTCTCTGTTTGTTCTCTCACTAATGGTCCTCCCTGTCGTTAACCATGCATTAATGGGGTAGTGGTAACCTGGGTCGTTGCCATTTGTTGTCGTATTTGATGTTCGACCCGCCGGGGGTTCGATTCCCCCTTAATGCACTTACTTTTATGTTTTTTGTCACAGCGTTTGGCAAGTGTCCTTCTCGGTTGGTCTCTAGGCCTTAGGCCTGAGGGCTTGTCCCGAAGGTCGAGAGGCTCCTTGGAGCTCAGTGCGGCCCAGGCCATCTAGTTCGGTCGACAGTCAAGCGGACGGTTCATTACTTCGCTTCAAGCTGGCGCTGAGCATCAATTCGCCTAGCAGGCCGCATATGGGACAGGGTTCATGGCTGCCAGGCGCGCCGACGTACTAGCCGCGCCACAATTCTCTCAGTCTCTGCACCATTTTCGAACGTGGTGACAAGCTTTCCTGATACTACCCTACCTGCGCCTTTTTCATGTACCTACTGAGTTCGCTCTCCTTTTCACTAGGTCTATTGTGGTGTATTATCAGGGTGCGACCATAGCTATTACCATTGTAGAGTAAAACATAGTTTAGTCCTCAGTCACTCCGACAATATGTGGTTGACTGTATGTTTATTCACCTGTAGAGTAAAACGTAGTTTAGTCTACAGGGTGGGAGTAAGTAATATGTCGAGATAAGATGTAAGTAATGTTTTTGCTCACCCTCAGTCACTCCGACAATATGTGGTTGACTGAGGGTGCCGTATTTGTCTAATGAAAATAAAAAGAGAAACAACGAGACAAAGAATAGCAAATACCGTGGTGGCTTATGGCGCACCTTCCGGTCACCATCTCTGATCTATGACGTCGATACGGGTGGCTAGTCTCGTTCTCCAACACTCCCCCTGACTTGCTCAACCGTCAACATCCTTGATACCCAAAAGGGAGATGAGGTAATCATGGGTGGCTCGAGGCAGGGGCTTCGTGCAGATGTCGGAAATGTTTTCGGTGGAGGGAATATGCTTTACTTCTATCTCCCCCTCCTGGACTCGTTCCCATATGTAATGGTGTCGAATATCAATATGTTTTGCTCGGGCGTGCCCTTTAGTTGTCTGAGCCAATGCAATGGACGAATTGTTGTCGGCAAGGAGTAGGGCGGGGAGTGGTTGCTCCATGTCGATTTCGAGAAGGAAATTGTGCATCCATAAAGCCTGTTGTGAGCCCCGTGTCATGGCCATGTATTCGGCCTTGGTGGTCAATAAGGCTACTGTTTCTTGTCTTTTTGAGCTCCAAGAGACTAGTCCTCCCGCCATCATAAATATATACCCCAATGTAGACCTTCATGTGTCCAAATCTCCTCCGTAGTCTGCATTGATGTACCCGATTGGCTTGCTTGACCCTCCCAACTCCTTTGAATACAGGATCCGGTAGTTCAGCATGCCTTTCACGTAGGCCAAGACATGTAGTAAGGCTTTCCAATGTGCCGGGCCGGGGTCAGACTGGAAACGCGTGAGTAAGGTCACAGCAAAAGACAAATCTGGTCTGGTGGCTGCCTGAGCCCACATCAAAGCTCCCAGCAGTTGTTGGTACGGTTTATCTGCCATAAATGCTCGTTCGGCTTCGTTCTTGGGGGACATGTCGTTTGTAAAGATTATGCCGCAGGGGAGTGGTGTGTATCGAGGATTGCAATCAATCATATTAAACCTTTCGAGGACTCACATAAGGTATGCTTTTTGAGAAATTGATATGGCTCCTGTGTTTGAGTCTTGATGTATTGCCATTCCCAGTATGAAGTCCGGTTCACCCAGGTCTTTCACTTCATAGATGCACGCCAGCTCTTTTTTCACCCCTTCTGCTCCTTGTTTTGTTGTTGAGAGGCCAAACGTATCGTTGTTGAAGGTGTTTGTGATGGTTCTTTCGGTTCCAACCTTCCTAGATCAAACGCACGGGTCTGCTCTGGATCTTGTGTACCCTAGGTCAGTGTATGCCCCATCTAGGGTCCAGTACCAATCAAAACCACCTTGCATCAGTCCGTAAATGGTTTTCCGGAGTCGCGCTAGCTTCCCCTCCCCCCCAGGAAACCAGGTGGGAGTCGCATATAGACATCGTGCTCGGGTATACTGTTGAGGTAGGCAGATATGAAATCGACTTGCCATATGTGGAGACCCTCCTGCGCGGCGATTGCTGTGGACATGCAAAGTGACTCCAAATGAACCACGGCTGCGTATGTTTCATTGAAGTCCTCTCCCGCTATCTGAGAGTAGCCCTTAGCTACCAAATGCGCCTTATGCCTCGTGACTTTGCCCTCCGCATTGAACTTATTTGCATATACCCATCTACATCCCACAACATTCTTCCCCTTTGGTACTTCTGACTCCTCCACCAGCTCAAAGACCCCATGCTTGTTCATCATCCGCAGTTCTTCATCCATTGCCGGTATCCACAAGTCTGGTCGTCTCATCGCCTCTAAGTATGTTCTTGGCACTTGTAGGTCGTCCTTGTCGTCTGCTCCCGTTGTCGTGGCTAAATACGCGTAAGGTCCCTCTGCCATCAGTGCCGTCGGTAAGTCATCTCCAGCAGCCCATTTTTCACCCTCAGCCCTAGCCTCTTCCCCGCGTTGGATAGTCTCCCTTGCAGCAATAAGTGCTGGTGTGGGTTTAGTCAAGCGTGAAGAGCGTCTGGGGGCCGCTACAGGTGGTGGTTGGGCCAGGGGTACCTGACGTGGGACGGGTGCTCGGCAATCACCCGTGGATGCATCAGTGGTGTTGCGTGGATGTATCGGGCCGCTATCAGGTCATATCCTCAGGGCCACGGGTTGGCGTGTGGGAAGTACACTGTGCGTGGTTTGTATCTGTATTGCCACATTGTCCTGGGTTAATGCATCGTCCTCTTGTTCATCCAGGAGAGTCAGCGACCTATGGCCTATCCCCTCATCAAAGATGACATCCCGTGACATAACTATGGATCGGGAGCCCTGATCGAAAAGGCAGTAACCACTGTTTGCGTACCCTACCAGGCGTGTTTTGACTGAGCGCGGGTCCAATTTTGACTTTATCAGCTTGTTTGGCACCTTAGCCCACGCTAAACACCCCCATGGTCTCAAGTGATCCACCCGCTGGCGACGATTTGTTCATGTCTCTTTGGGGATGGTGCCTGGGTGTCGAGATGACAGAAGTAAGTTTTGAGTGTAAACCTGTGTGGCTGCGGCCTCGGCCCACAGTTCCTTTGGCAGCCCGCTCTCTACGAGCATGCACCTGACTCCCTCGAGGATGGTCCGGTTAGTGCGTTCTGCCAGACCATCTTGAGCATGGGCATATGGGGTAGTGACGTTCAGTATAATTCTGTGGGTGTCCATGTACGTTAACTACAAGTTGTTTACCCATTCTCTCCTTAATTCCTTGAGCTTTCTTCCAGTTTGACATTTGGACTCCACGTGGTACGATGTGAAGGCAGTCAGGGTCGTTGTAGCATCCTTTCGGGACAAGAAATATACAGACAGGTAAGACGATCCCCCATTGACAGCCACCATCATGTAAACAGCCCCTCCCAAGGATGTTACACTAGATGGCCCCCAAAGATCAATGTGCATGCAGTCATTTGGTAATCCCTCTGGCTCTACCTTGGCATCATAGGGTCAAGATGCATGTTTGCCATACATGCAGTCCTCGCATAGTCCCGGTGCTTTTAGGTCTCCTTTTACTATTAGGCCATCCACCAGGTTGTCGGTAAGAGCCCTCCTAAAGGTTTTGACACTCGCATGACCAAACCTTCGATGCCAGGTTTCAAGTGTAGTCGGCTTCATTTGGGATTTGGCTGTTAATGCCGTCGGTGCGCTTGTACCTCCCAGGGAACTCAGGAGATACATTCCTCCATCTCCTACGCCACAGAGAATCTCTCTGCTGTTTGGATCTTGGAATCTTACTTTGCCACCCCCAAACAGAACACTAAAACCAGCCTTGTCAAACTTGTTTATTGAGATAAGGTTTGACGCGAGGTCAGGGGCATGTAGTGTGTTCCTGAACACCAATTCGGATCGACCTTCAGCTGTTTCGCAGGTCTTTTTCACCGTTCCATGACCCAGGACTCGGAACATCGCGCCCTTTGGTGCTGCTTGGCCCTCGATAGGGTTCTTCAGCTCCTCGTAGTCTGTGAAGGCGTCACGGTTTACAAAGAAATGGTCTGTCGCTCCCGAATCTGCGTAGGTGGGTATCTCCGGTGTCTTAGTGGCATTTGCCCTAACCCATTTTACCATGGCTAGGCGGTCCCGATTAGCGTCGGGTGCATGCACGATTGCCGATAACGCGTAAGCGACGAGTGGCGTTTCTGGTTGCTGGATCGTGGACATAACTGCATTTGCCACTGGGGTAGGGGTTTGATTCTCGTTTGTCGTTGGCTTGGTGAGTTTTGTTTTATTTCTGAAGTTAGGAGGGAATTGACCCTCCTTTCCTCCGCCTTTCCTGTAAGGGCGACCTCTGGAGGCTATGGCTCAGTCACACAGCTGGCAGAGGGAGATCCAAAGTATATTAGAGTATATACCAACAATATCATAATAACTACTCACCTGGCAGAGGGAGATCCAAAGAGAACAAGTCTAGGGATTCCCTATGCCAGGATGGACGCTTCTGAGGCTCCGGAAGC